GGATCAACTTTACCTCCAGACCTAAAGAGTGCCCCCTTGTCCCTTGATGACCTCAGGGTGAATGATTCTACACAGAGTTCGCTATATGAACCACTGATGTTATTTATACATGTTGATCATATCCCCCCTAATCTCCTCTTCTCAAGAGAGAATACATTCAGTTCCTCTAATCTTTCCTCATAGCTGAGCTCCTTCATGCCTCTCTATCAGTTTGGTTGCCCTTCTCTGCACTTTCTCCAGTTCCCCAATGTTCTTTTTGTGACTTGGTGCCCAAAACTGAACTGCATATTTCAGATGAGGTTTTACTAATGATTTGTACAGGGGTAAAATTATCTCCCTCACCCTCTTTTAATACAAGAGAGGATTTTGCTCGCTTTAGAAACCAGCTTGGCATTGCAGCCATTATTAAGCTTGTGATCTACCAGAACTCCCAGATCCTTTTCCACCATTGATTCCCCTAGTTGTACTCCCCCTAGTATGTATGATGCATGCATATTCTTAGCTCCAAAGTGCATAACCTTACATTTATCAACATTAAACCTCATTTGCCACATAGTTTCCCAATTAAACCGTGCATTGAGGTCGGCTTGTGAGTTGGAGACATCCTGTAAGCACGTTATTCCACTACAAAGCTTGGTGTCATCTGCAAAGACTTAAGCGGTATTTTTAGTCCCAGACCCTATATCGTTTATAAATATAATAAAAAGTAAGGGTCCCAACACTGAACCTTGGGGTACACCACTTACAACCCTAGACCATTCAGAGTATGAATCATTAACCACTGCTCTCTGAATACAATCTTTTAGCCAGTTGTCCACAGCCATTTACATACCGATTTATTTATTTTTTTTCCAAGCCTGTAGAGTTTTCCTTACACATTAGCCGTATGTAGAGGTTAGAAATGTATAGTACATTTCGGTATGTAAAAAGTTAGACCTCTTTTGCTCCAGACTTAGAGTGCCCCCCCCCCCCCCTGTCCTTTATAATGGCCTTAAAGTGAATAACTCTGCACCAAGTTGCACTATATGGACCACCTTTGTTTTTATACATAGTAATCATATCTCCCCTTAATCTCCTCTTCTCAAGAGAGAATAAATTCAGTTCCTCTAATCTTTCCTCATAGCTGAGCTCCTCCATGCCTTGAATTTGGTTGCCCTTTTCTGCACTTTCTCCAGTTCTCTGATATCCATTTTGTGAACTACTGCCAATTACTGAACTGCATATTTCAGATGAAAACTTAAATTGGTTAATTTTTTCTATTTATTTCTTATAATTTCTTCTTGATGTACAGTTCATCCAGAAAATATTCACAGCTCTTAACTTTTGCCACATTTTTGTTATGTTACAGCCTTATTCCAAAATGGATTCAATTAATTTTTTTCCTCAACATTCTACAAACAGAAGCCCATAATGACAATGTGAAAGAAGTTCGTTTTGAAACCTTTGCAATTTATTAAAAATAAAAAATGAAAACAAAAAACCACATGTACAAAGGTATGCCATGACACTCAAAACTGAGCTCTGGTGCTCCCTGTTCCCACTGATCATCCTTGAGATGTTTCCACAACTTGATTTGAGTCCACCTGTGGGAAATTTAGTTGATTGGACATGATTAGGAAAGGCATAAACCTGTCTGACAATGCACGGTTAACTGTGGGACCTTATACAGAGCACAAACCAAGCCATGACGTCCAAGGAATTGTCTGTAGACCTCAGAGACAGGATTGTATCAAGGCACAGATCTGGGGAAGGGTACAGAAAATTTTCTGCAGCATTGAAAGTCCTAATGAGCACAGTGGCCTCCATCATCCATAAATAGAAGAAGCGTGGAACAACCAGGAATCTTCCTAGAGAGGGCCATCCAGCCAAATTGAGCGATCGAGGGAGAAGGGCCTTAGCCAGGGAGGTAACCAAGCACCCACTGGTCACTCTGAAAGAGCTCCAGCGTTTCTTTGTGGAGAGAGAGGAGAACCTTCCAGAAGAATTACCATCTCTGCAGCACTCCACTAATCAGGCCTGTATGATAGAGTGGCCAGACAGAAGCCACTCCTCAGTAAAAGGCAAATGGCTGCCCGCCTGGAGTTTGCCAAAAGGCACCTGAGGGACTCTCAGACCATGAGAAACAAAACTCTCTGGTCTGATGAATCAAAAATTGAACTCTTTGGCCTGAATGCCAAGTGTCATGTCTGGAGGAAACCAGGCACCGCTCACCACCTGGCCAATACCAACCCTACAGTGAAGTATGGTGGTGGAAGCATCATGCTGTGGGGATGTTTTGCAGTGGCAGGAACTGGTGGACCAGTCAGATTTGAAGGAAAGATGAATGCAGCAATGTACAGAGACATACTTGATGAAAACCTGTTCCAGAGCGCTCTAGACCTTAGACTGGGGTGATGGTTCATCTTTTAACAGGACAACGACCCTAAGCACACAGCCCACATAACAAGGGAGTGGCTGCGGGCCAACTCTGTGAATGTTCTGGAGTGGCCCAGCCAGAGCCTAGACTTGAACCCGATTAAACATCTCTGGAGAGATCTGAAAATGGCTCCCCATCCAACCTGATGGAGTTTGAGAGGTACTGCAAATAAGAATGGGAGAAATTGCCCAAAAATAGGTGTGCTAAGCTTGTAGCATCATACTCAAAACGACTTGAGGCTGTAATTGGTGCTAAAGGGGCTTCAACAAAGTATTGAGTAAAGGCTGTGAATACTTATGTACATGGGGTTTTTTCATTTTTTATTTTTAATAAATTGCAAAGATTTCAAAACTAATTTCTTTCACATTGTCATTATGGGGTATTGTTTGTAGAATGTTGAGGAAAAAAATTAATTTAATCCATTTTGGAATAAGGCTGTAACATAACAAAATGTTGCAAAAGTGAAGCGCTGTGAATACTTTCTGGATGCACTGTAATTGGTTTTATATCTTTCTCAGATTAAGCTGTTATATTTTTTTAGAGGCAAAAACTATTCTGGTTGATAATGTATTTAATAAGGCTCAGGTGTCCTTTGTAATGCACAGAGAAGTTGCATTCATGTGATGTTTATGCAAAATAGGATGAGCTATTTTGGCTTGTAATGCTTGTGTTCACATATGTACAGTCAGGTCCATAAGATTGGGACATCGACATAATTCTAACATTTTTGGCTCTATACACCACCACAATGAATTTGAAATGAAACAAACAAGATGTGCTTTAACTGCAGACTGTCAGCTTTAATTTGAGGGTATTTACATCCAAATCAGGTAAACGGTGTAGGAATTACAACAGTTTGCATATGTGCCTCCCACTTGTTAAGGGACCAAAAGTAATGGGACAGAATAATAATCATAAATCAAACTTTCACTTTTTAATACTTGGTTGCAAATCCTTTGCAGTCAATTACAGCCTGAAGTCTGGAACGCATAGACATCACCAGACGCTGGGTTTCATCCCTGGTGATGCTCTGCCAGGCCTTTATTGCAACGGTCTTCAGTTCCTGCTTGTTCTTGGGGCATTTTCCCTTCAGTTTTGTCTTCAGCAAGTGCAATGCATGCTCAATCGGATTCAGGTCAGGTGATTGACTTAGCCATTGCATAACATTCCACTTCTTTCCCTTAAAATACTCTTTGGTTGCTTTTGCAGTATGCTTTGGGTCATTGTCCATCTGCACTGTGAAGCGGCGTCCAATGAGTTCTGAAGCATTTGGCTGAATATGAGCAGATAATATCGCCCGAAACACTTCAGAATTCATCCTGCTGCTTTTGTCAGCAGTCACATCATCAATAAATACAAGAGAACCAGTTCCATTGGCAGCCATACATGCCCACGCCATGACACTACCACCACCATGCTTCACTGATGAGGTGGTATGCTTAGGATCATGAGCAGTTCCTTCTCCATACTCTTCTCTTCCCATCACTCTGGTACAAGTTGATCTTGGTCTCATCTGTCCATAGGATGTTGTTCCAGAACTGTGAAGGCTTTTTTAGATGTTGTTTGGCAAACTCTAATCTGGCCTTCCTGTTTTTGAGGCTCACCAATGGTTTACATCTTGTGGTGAACCCTTTGTATTCCCTTTGGTGAAGTCTTCTCTTGATTGTTGACTTTGACGCACATACACCTACCTCCTAGAGAGTGCTCTTGATCTGGCCAACTGTTGTGAAGGGTGTTTTCTTCACCAGGGAAAGAATTCTTCGGTCATCCACCACAGTTGTTTTCCGTGGTCTTCTGGGTCTTTTGGTGTTTCTGAGCTCACCGGTGCGTTCCTTCTTTTTAAGAATGTTCCAAACAGTTGTTTTGGCCACGCCTAATGTTTTTGCTATCTCTCTGATGGATTTGTTTTGTTTTTTTCAGCCTAATGATGGCTTGCTTCACTGATAGTGACAGCTCTTTGGATCTCACCTTCAGAGTTGACAGCAAAAAATTCCAAATGCAAATAGTACACTTGAAATGAACTCTGGACCTTTTATCTGCTCGTTGTAATTGGTATAATGAGGGAATAACACACACACCTGGCCATGGAACAGCTGAGAAGCCAATTGTCCCATTACTTTTGGTCCCTTAACAAGTGGGAGGCACATATGCAAACTGTTGTAATTCTTACACCGTTCACCAGATTTGGATGTAAATACCCTCAAATTAAAGCTGACAGTCTGCAGTTAAAGCACATCTTGTTCGTTTCATTTCAAATCTATTGTGGTGTATAGAGCCAAAAATGTTAGAATTGTGTCGATGTCCCAATATTTATGGACCTGACTGTAAGTGTGTGCTGTGATGAAAATCCTGCTGGGCTGAAATGTTTTGTTTGCCATTTTTTGCTGCTTTTAAATTTAGAGCTAATGATGTGAAGATTTTTTTGTGAAGGCAGTGTTGATTATTTTCTCCCTGGGCTGTATACAATTCGCACACTGCTGCAAGCCTTACCAGTATCCAAATTCTGGCCGAGTTGTCTGTTTCTTGAAATAACTGGGCTTTAATTACAGTTAATCTAAAATGTATTAATCTTGTCTTTCAACAGCAGAGGAGCCAGAACGTAAAAGAAAGAAGGGTCCTGCACCAAAGATGTTGGGTAATGAAGTTTGCAGTGTATGTGGAGATAAGGCCTCTGGCTTTCACTATAATGTGCTGAGCTGCGAGGGCTGTAAAGGCTTTTTCAGACGCAGTGTAATTAAGAATGCCAAGTACACTTGCAAGAACAATGGCAAGTGTCAGATGGACATGTACATGCGCCGCAAGTGCCAGGAGTGCAGGCTCCGGAAGTGCAGAGAGGCCGGCATGCGGGAGCAGTGTAAGTCACCATGTTTTTTTTTGTTTTTTTTTCCTTTAATGTTTCCACTTTCATTTCAGTAGGGATAGCAAGGATTGCAGTAGAAGCACTCATCTTACTCAAAGACAATAAAAGATGATGACAAAGCTGCCAGTTCCCTCTTAATCTGTATTGTATTTGGGCCTATCATAATGTTTTGTGCTGGTTTATTTAACATAGCTAACTTACTGATACTTCATGCTTAGTAAAAATGTGATTTCTATATTGTATAGGGGAGACACCCCTGGCAAATCAGAGCAATCACAGACTGCTGCCGCTAGGAGGCTGGACATTAGGATGAGCAAAGGGCACCAATCCATCGAGCTGTAATAACTGCATGTGCAGCACAAGCCTAGTTTGGTTTAGTTTCCTAAAGAGGAAGGATGTTTATCTCCAGTTCTACTACATCAAGCCCTTTAGTTGAAGACTCCTGTACTAAATAGCTACATAGTTAGTCTGGCTGAAAAAAGACAGTCATTCCAGTTCAACCATAAAAAAAGTTATAATCCTACACCCACAGTTGGTCCAGAGGAAGGCAAAAAACCCAGCAAAGCATGATACAATTTGCTCCTGCAGGGGAAAAAAATTCCTTCCTGATCCCCCAAGAGGCAATCAGATATTCCCTGCATCAACTTTACCTATAAATGTTAGTATCCAGTTATATTCTGTGTATCCAAGAAAGAATCCAGGACTTTTTTAAAGCAATCCACTGAAATGGCCAGAACCAACTCTTGAGGGAGTCTATTCCACATTTTCACAGCTCTTACAGTGAAGAAATCTTTCCGTATTTGGAGATTAAATTTATTTTCCTCTAGACATAAATAGTTGCTGGTAGTGTCCAACTGGACCGTCAGATTCTGGATATTCACTCAAACAGCCTCCTGTTCACATTGTCTTCACAAACCACAAAAGTTTGTATCTTTTCATTCAACTACTGGGTTGAAAAAAAAAAAAAAAATGATCGTACGAGTGTGTGGATGGGGGAATAACTCCCGCTGTGCTATTGTGTTCTGACAGCGGATAACGTTCTCCGCTATCAGAACACACTGTTGCTGGCAATAGCCGGTGGCACTGATCGTTTGGGAAAAGCACGACAGGCTGGCTGTACACAAATCAAAATTCGTCCGGTCCCTTCTGAAGCAGCTGATTTTCAATCCATGTATGGCCACCTTTATTCTCCAGCTTGTATGTTTTTATCTACGGTGTCACTAATCTCTCTGCCTTGAAAAACTCCCTTGCTCCATGGGATTGTAACTTGGTGCTTCAGAATCTTCGCTTTGAATTGCTATTGAAGATCCTTTTCTTGTCTTTGTTTGAGACAGTGGCCTTCCTTGTCATTATCACTTCAGGGTCTCTTTGTTGGCAGCCATGTCTACTATGCACCCTTCTTTTTCCTTAAGGAGTCCCTTGCATTTTGTTCGACTCTCTGTAGATGGATTCACCAGGTTATTTCCTCGGCTTATTCCCTGAATGGGAATGATCCTTAGTTCACTGTCATCACTCATTCTACTAAACTAATCAATACCTCCTGGGCCTCTATTTACCAGCCATCTATTTCCTAGGTGTGCAGTGCTAGATGGTCAGCTATCTACAATTTTTACCACTGTTTGACAAGTGGTTCTGGCAACATCATGGATGCTAACGGTGGACTTTAAGTGGTTGGTTGTAAACACTTACATATACCCAGTGAAGTGACTGGCCGGAGATTAATCAAATTTTCCTACATAAGTTGTACCTGTCTATCCACAGTCTTCTCATTCTACACTTGTTCAGAGTGCTGAATTTATAAAGCTAGTCTGAGAGTTCAGAAAAAAGGTATGGGAGAGCTGAATTTACACTCTGCAGAGCTCAGTGAGGAGAGTTTTGAAAGCTGATTGGAGGGAAGAGACCCCCCCCCCCCTCCACACAGGTCACAGAACAGACCTGAGGCTGTCACTCTGCTGTAGGTCCCTCCTTTGTTATCATTTTTCTCTTGGTGTCAGGGAAAACTTGTCAGAAGTGACTCATACTGATAGCAGAGGAATGAAGCGGTAGGCAGAAATTACACTTCGTGCTCTTAGTGCACATTATTGGCTGATCTGAGTCACAATATTACATCTGAGGCTTGCAAGGGAACATGTGTGTTTATTGCTCCTCTTTTTTAATATATATTTTTTGGGAATATGTTTTTTTTTTTTTGGCATTCTGTGTCCCCTAATGAATGCTGGGAGAAGATAATTTTTTAGACTTGCTATAAAATTATTTTTTCCAGTGGTTCATTGGAGGACATCTCTCTCCTGCATTGTTGTCTTGTTGCTAAAATTTACTGTATTCGCCAGAATATTTCCTATCAGTTCCATTGTTTTGCACATGCATATAGCCAGTGAATATGGCAATACCCTTTGTTCTTTCTATAGTGTCCAGCCTCTTGGAAGTGGCAGCTATACCCATACATAGAAGACTGAAATCCTGTGTCATTGACATAGTGAAGAAAAGTATTTTACAGCGAGTATATAAAAAAAATACACTCTTTGAGGCTAGGTTCACACTGATGCGGTGCGGTATATCGCATGTGATTCGCACAGGAACCGCACCGCATTCCTGTGCAAATTACATGCGATTTGTGTGCGGTGCGATTGGACCCGCCCTAGAATCGGATCGCATGGGTATTCACACCTATGTGATCTGATTCTGCACATCGCACCACGTTTTGCAGACCGATTTTGGGGTGTTGTTAACATACACACCTGCATCGGTTTGCATGAACAGGGTGCCATTCTGATGCGGTGTGGAATTCACACAGAAAATGCTGCGAATAACGCACTGCACCAGTGTGAACCCAGCCTAAGCTAGGTTCACATATGTGCAGGTGGTGCTGCTGCGGATCCGTGCAGCCGCACCCACCCGTTCAGAAGAATGCGGACCCGCCATTAATGGCACACCGCCCTCACTGGAAAACGCAACCATACTGGGAACTGAGGTTCTAGTGTGGGCTGCGTTTTCAGCAGAAGTGCAGGGACTTCTTCCCTGCGTGTCGAATGAATGGGCTCTCGTGCCCACGCAAAACGCGGCCCACACGGCCGCATATATGTGAACCAGAGGTAAAGGTACTAGCACAGAGAGCCTTCCTACTTAATGAGTTACAGATGCGAAAAAAAGCATTCAGCTAGTGAAGTGAAATCTCATCCTGCACGCTTGTTCCAGGTCAGTGATTTGCTGGGTAGTGAATCCTCGATACATTGACGGTCCCAAAACCCAAATCTTTAAAATTAAGCAATAACAGCTCCCATATGTTTTGCCTTGCTGGTTCCTTTTTAACAGAACAATCCATTTATTGTTTGTGCAACACATTCTATCACTTCCTAATGCTCAGCAAAAATGCTGTCCGTGGCCAGACCGCGGTCTTATTTGTATTTTTAAGGGCATTCAATGTCCTATGCTCACCACCACTTTTATCCCTGGTGTATGGAGAAGATCTTTCCCTTTTTATGCTTTGTGGAAAAAATATCAGGCTTTGAACAGCCTTGGGCTAAATATTGTAGTTTGACCTTAAAATAATAAACTAAAACACAATGCCGCTTTTAGGCCAGCTTTGTCACTTTTTCCAGCAACGGTTTCCAAGCTCTGATTAGTCACTTGTTTCGTCAGTCATGTGATGTCTGTTGGCTGATAGTGACCCTGTTGCACTTCCTCCCAGGTGTTCTGTCTGAAGAGCAGATCCGTAGTAAAAAGATCAAGAAGCAGCAGCAGGAAGATGATGTTGTTCGCTCATCTGCAGCTCTGGCTCCCCCCAGCCCTTCCATGCTGACCCAGGATGTTGTCCATTTAACGCCTCAGCAAGAGGAGATGATCCAGCAACTAGTATCTGCCCAGCAACAGTGCAACAAAAGGTCCTTCAGTGATCAGCCCAAAGTAACGGTATGTAACTAACATGCTGGTTTTACAACAGTTGGAAGTCAGAATTAAAAAAAAATGACATGGCATTAGGGTATCAAAGTAATTCCAGAACTAACATTCTGGAAATTTTTTTTTTTTTTTTTTTTTTATTATTAAGACTTTAATGTGGTATTAAACCCAAAACAAACATTATGTTGCAGCTCACCAATTTTTAGATGTGATGGCTCCGTTAGTTCTCTTTTTTTGGCTTTTTTTTTATTTTCACCTGGTGATCTGGCCAGTAAGTCTGTTGTTTTTCAACAGAACTAACTTTCCTGAAAATGTATCAGGTAAAAGTGTAGAAACAAAACATTTACCACTGACAAGGGTGCTTACAGTAATCAGCATTTATTCAGGAAAAAACCTTTATCCCAAAAGAAAGAAAACAGTTACTGTAACTGCTTTTGTAACTGCAATGTGAGCTGGAGTTTGGCTTCAAATTGTTAACGTGCCTAAATCTGCTAGTCTAACACTCCCGTCCCTCTAGAGCAACGATGCTGCTGTGTGCTGTGTGCCTTTGCTCCTTCATCCAGAATGGAGGCACTCTAATACAGGAGGTGTGTTATTGGCCAGATCACAAGGAGAAAAGAAAGGGGGGAAAAGCCTAAAAAAGAAAATGAATGAAGCCATCACACTCTGATTGGTAAGCTGTAATAGATTACATTTTTGGGTTTAATACCGCTTTAGGATTTCATTTACACTTGCTTTGCATTAACCCCTTAAAAGAGAAGTACAACCCAAACTCTTTTGGCTGTACTTCCCCTGTGGATCACAGGAGTGCAGTTCGTTCTGCACTCCTGTGACCCATTTTCAGCTGACAGCGGGCTGAGCAGGCTCTCTGCTCACAGCAGCAGTGAGAACTCAGTGGTCATGTGATTGCTGGCCTCTCACCCTTAGAGCTGGCGGGGGACAGATGCAGCATTGGACTGATGCTGCATCCACTTAGGTAAGTATAATCTGAAAAAAAAAAAAACCCAGATAATTCTGTTTTAAGAGCTTGTTTACACTTGTGGCTGGGGGTAGGGGGCTGTAAAATTGCGCAGTTGAGCTGCATTTTTCCTGCCTGCCCCTCAATCGCTTCCCCTTTGCTTGAGCAGCTGGGGGTATACTTATGCTGCTTTGCTCTGCACTAATGGCAGGAATTATACCCACTTTCACACTCGGCAGGCAATGTTACCCACTGTACGTGACTCATTCTAGTTAATGGGGGTCACGCTGCAACCGCGCACAATGTATGTGTTTGGCAGGCATTTAGGGGAATATAGCACCTTCTTATCACCTGTCATATGCTCTCTAAAGAGCAATATGAATGTGAAGCAAAGCAGCATGTGTGTACACCCAGCTACTGCTTTCCCAGGTGAAGGGGGAGCTCTTAGGGGGTAAAAAAAAGATAGTGAAGAGGCGATAAAAAATGATCTCATCCATATATTGCTGGCAGACCTTGTGTTGCTTTTTGAATGTACAGGAATGTCTGTTCTAAAGTTGCAGATAAGAAGTAGGTGGTGACAGTCCTGCAAGAAGGAGGTGGAGCTTTGCGGCATCACAGTGTTAACATCTGCATGCTGGTGACACTGGAAATTGGAATTTACAGCTTTTGGAGCACTTTGATATGGGAAGTGGAAATGCGATATCATCACTAAAATTTGAGGATGAGAATCTTTTTTGAAAGGATGTTTGAATTAAAGAACAAAAATGTTATACTTTGCAGCTTACCAGACCAGATGTGGTGGCTGCATTTGTTTTTCATTTTTTAGTTTAAAAACATTTTCAGCATGTACAGAAAATACCTGTTGATATTTCCAAAAATGCAGGAGTGTTCATGTAACTTTCTGAGAATTGAACTTTAGTAAAAAAAAAACACATCTAAGCTGCAATATATCACATTTTGTTTTTGGATTTAGATATGCTGTAAAACTGATACTGTAAGAAATATAGAGGTTCCTTCTGAAAATGCTAGCTGCCTGACTGTTTCAGATCAATGACTAGAAGTATTAAGAACCAAGATCAAACAGGTTCACTCTGCAAAAATTAAATAAATTAGTAAAAGGACACTACTCCAGCACCGTCCTCACTCGGGCTAGTTCTTCACTAATCTTTGGGCTACCAGTGCTGGCATCCTAACTGTGGGCAGCCAGCTATGCGGCTTTTGTGCAAGCTGCGGTGTGCTTTGTGAATAATCACGCAGTCTTCTGGGACCCGTGACATGTCCCAGAAGACTACGTGGAGGTAGGGGGAGCAGGTAACTGTCAAAACTAGTACCAACCCCCCCCCCCCCCCCCCCAAAAAAAAAAATACATGGTAAGGGAGGAGGGGAGGAAAATTTTGAGTGGAACTTCCCCTTTTGGGTCAAGTTCCACTTAAACTAATTGAATTGTTTGGATTGGCATACCAGCCAAGCAGCTATCATTTTTTTTCAAAAGTGAAGCACAGTAGTGGCAACCTAAATATTTTTCATTACATATTTAATACACCACGCTGTTGCAATAAAATCATTTTGATGTGCTGTAAATGTTCATTCTTGTTTTTTCTCCTTATATATTTTACTGATAAAAATAATACTTATTGCAAAAGAAGCAGAATGATGCAGATGGAACTGGTAAATTATAAGGTCCTTTGTCTTTATCTCTGTAATGCTTTGCTTGCAGGGTGATGTGCCAGCCAGGAACTTAATATTGACTTAATATGTCAATATTAAATGTACCACATAGCAGTGACTGTGACATTGTTTTTACAGTGATTCAGAGCTTTAGGCCAGCCATACATGGATCAAAATTTATCCAGTTCAGCAGAGACCAACCTAATTTTAATCAATGTATGGGCAGGATTGTTGTACAGAAGTCAATTGGTAGCTCTGTCAGATTTTAACCACTTGATCAGCAGCTAAAGCCTGCAATGCTGATCAGTGTATTCTGACAGCAGGGAAGTCTCCCCGCTGTCAGAATACAATAGGATAATGAGGAGGATTCCCTCATCCACATCAAGTGTGTGGATAGGGGAAATGAGTCAATTTTTTTTCATTCAACTTACTGGCTGAATTAAAAACAAACTAACCTCTAGCCTGCCTTAGGCTGTTGTCCTGGGACAAACCATGCCATTGTTGATGAACTAGGGTGGAGAAATGCAGAGCAGCTGGGAAAAGGTACGGTACTTTGCCCCACCCTTTGCTGATCATTGAATTATTCAATATCATAGTCCTGAGTGGCTTCACAAGTATTTCCTGTCCTATATATAAAATACGATTTACAATGATAACATCAAACTTATAATTTGAATGCAGCCATATGTACAGTGATTCATCTTCCTACGTGTGTGGTCTGGTGATGCTCACCTCTCCTCTCTGCTCCTCCACAAAATTCATACTTCACTCACAATCCCACCACTCCCATTTACCAATTTTTTACTAACACATTATGAAGGCCTTGCCTTAAAACAAAGCCCTCCAGTGGCTCACTGTCACTGCCGCAGAGGCTTTCATCTTCACCCGGTCCTCCTTTCGGGTTCCCAAGCTGTGACCACTTGATTGGCCGAGCGGCTAGACGTCACTCATCTTGGCTGCAGCACACAGGTCTGAAGGAACAGCACGGGTATGCCGTTCCTTTAGAGCGCATGCGCCAGTGACGTCACCGGCTGCTGCTCGCTAGAATATCACTTAAACGGTGCACGTTTAGGAGATATTAATTTTACCTACAGGTAAGCCTACCTGTAGGTAAAAATGAAACATAAGAGTTTACTACCACTTTAATACAAGAAAGTATTTCACTAGCTTTAGAAACAGCAGCTTGGAATTGCATGCTATTATTATGTCTATGATCTACCAGAACTCCCAGATCCTTTTTGATCAACTCCCCCATTACTGTACTCCTAGAATGTATGATCCGTGCATATTTTTAGCTCCCAAGTGCACAACTTTATATTTAGCAACATTAAGGCTTCATTCACATGGGTGCTGAGGCCCATATTCCCTAAATGTGCCTTGTGTTTATGTGGCTTGAGCTGTCAGGTGCTGCAAGCAGGCTGCCTATGCAAGTGTATGGGGATGCGGTACCTGTACAGACACAGCCGCTCATCCCAAATTGAAAGGTGTGCAGGAGAGTGGCCCAGCATAGTACAGTAGGGTTAACACAATTTTGTTATCAGATTTTATGAAACTTGATACGTTTTTTTTTTTTTTTTTTGCAAATAATTTTTTGAATGGTATTACTTGGTTAACCAGCAGTTTCCAAAATGTAAGGCTTGCTGATAGAGGATTTATTAAATGTAACACAATGGTTTAGCAATTAAGGAATACCACATCTCCAAGAAAAATCCTATCATAATAGGGCCAAGCTCATCATTATGATCGGATAGACATCTTGGACAGTCTGAGTTAGCCATGTGTCCCGTCCGATTTAGTAGTGTTGGTATTAAATGTTTGGTGTATAATGTTTATCTGTATAAGTTTGTTGTTAACTGCTAGGGAAAATATTGCTCACGAATATCTTCCATTGCACATCTGATAGAGTAGGATTTAGCTATTTTTTATTTTAGATACAGCATTTAAAAAAAAAATAGGGATTCTGCGTTAAGAAGATCTCCTTTGCATTATTATTTGGATCTTTGTGTTTCCCCACTATGCTGTTAAATCTATAAAGAATAAATGTGTAAGCAGCTCCTTTTTCTAAAGGTTGTTGATAAAGGTATGTTCAAAGCTCACCTTATTTTTAATGACCCATAATCCTTTTCCTTCCAGCATTCATTGGCAGACAAAATAAGTCCTCTACCGATAAGTGTCATCTTATCGTAATATCCTCGCATGCCCTAATCACTTTTAGTTATGTGTCCTGAGGATTAACAGCTGCTGACAGTGTCATACAGAACCCACAGATCCTGGACTTTCACCCCAGCAGCAGTATTTTCACACAATACTATGCCGGACCCCAGATTCAGATAACTGTGGCATTGATGCTGCTTCATTGTGCCATACTGGACACCCAGTTCCAGGTATTGACACTACAGCGGCTGTTAGAGGGAGCAGTGCTTATAGCGGATCCACTGATAGTGGACAGTTCCTGAGAAACTATCCAGAGCTTTGAGTAGACAACTTACTGAAGCCTCTTATTGGTCCTTTTGGGTTACAGATCTGGAACATTTTCCCTTTTCAATCACCTTTTCATTCTAGCTTGGGGCTTTATTGTTCAGTGTCACTTTTTTTTACATGTTGCCACAGTTTTTTTTGCCATTGTCTTTGCTATATACTGGTGATGATCTGTGTACTATGAACCTTTTGCTTCAGTACAATATCCAGAGTATCATTTTAACTGATGCAATCTTGCAGAAAATGAGTGGGAGATGCTCCTGGCACATTGTACAGTGGCAATGCTGAGCATTGCCTTTCATGTGTGTTAAACCCCTCTGCATCTGCAACATCTCTGGTGAGAAGCTTGCAGTGGGAATGAATTAGTTACCTCTGTTCTTGCTGCCCTGGTGCTCTATTCTTTTGTCCAATGCTCCAAGAATGTAGGCAGGTCCTTGTTGTCTTTGTGTACAATGCAGGACCGGTTTATTCATGGAATTAGAATTATGGATCATCCTGCTTGATATTTGTTTAGTATGACTGTCTGTTACAAGGGTCCATCAGCATAATAGTCAAGGTGGCACAAAGGGTCTGGTCTCAGTGTGAGAGACGGAACGCACCTTCTACTGGGTAGAATGTCTGGTTCTGTGGTAGTTAGTTCACATGCCCAAAGTGGAAAACTGGCAGATGGACTTCCTGAGTAGAAAGCATTTAGACCATGGTAGTTGTCCCTCAGTCAGGAGGTGTTTTATCAGATCTGTCAGTGGTGGAACTGGATATGGATTTGAAAGCATTCCCATTCTAATTGCAGGGTTCCCAAGCTTATCAGAGCAAGAGACCAACTGGCAGGCACAGTGAATGCTCCTTTGGACACAGCAATCCGGTATATGTTTCTACCACCAGAATTTATTTTTCTTTTGCAAAAATTTAAATCAGATTAAATCCTCCTTAGTTCAGGACTGGCTATCTGGCTAGTCACCTGGTCACAGATACTCCATGGCTTCCTGTGTCTTCACCTAACCTGTTTGAAGGTCAAATTCTGCATTTTGTTTTTAGTCACAGACTTTAATGGTATGGCTGTTAAAGCCCAGGTACTGACCCTCGGATCTTTCCAGTTGCTTAGATCCTGGGTATTCTACAGAAGGACAAGATCAATGCCTGGCATGAAGCACCACTGAGTGACAGATATCTGATCTGGCAATCTTTTTTCAAGAGCCCTGGCTCACATAACTCCCGTGTGAGGACTCAGCTGGCTCAAAGGAACCTTAATTTGGTACTTTCAGGGCTAACTCCTTTAACCTCCCTGACTGTATTCCCGAGTGTAGCTCGGGGTAAAATTTCAGTACCACAAGCGGTAACCCCGAGCTACACTCGGGCTTACCATGCGGCGCTGCTCCAGGATCTGTTCTTCTCTTACCTTGTCCTGCCCCCCCTATGATGTCCCACCTGCAGTGTCCCCTGTATTGTCCTCCGGCGGATGCCGGCATCTGTCTTCTGGGTTCCGTCCCCTGCGACGTCAGGACATACGATGAACGGAACCGGCGGGAGATTTGAAAATGAAAAAAGTGACATTCACTAAATACACTTAAATAACATAGTAAAACATTACTGTATCAAAGCATTTCACATACATTTTGTCCTGAGTGCTGTGTCCTGTGCCCTGCTTACATTTTTACTGTTCTTTCTACCTGGAAACTGAGAAATGTCCATGGTGTCCAAAAAGTGTCCCTTTAGGTCAAAATCGGTTTTAGACCAGCTAGAGAACAGCGATAGTAAATTAGAACTACTTGCAGAATTGAGTGATAATGATTCGTGGGGAAATTCGTCATCAGACACTGAAAACGATTTTGCGACTTTGCTCAGTGATGCGCGAACTTGGCGCTATATTTCAAATTTCAGTGTTTTTGGTTTGATTATATTATTGAATTAAATTTATTATATTATTTTTTATTAAATTAAAATTTATGATTTCGTGTTTCAAATTTTAACATACCCGGGATGTTTACTAGACTGTTGTTCGGACAGATTTCAGTGAGTTATTCCTAAAAATTACAGACCTACAATAAAAAAAATACATATTTCCATGCAAAAAAACACATAAGAAATTCCCGGTATCCAGTTCAGCCATCTTTCAATGCATACCCCCAGCTCCGCCCCGCCCCAGACCCCCCCCCCCCCCCCACTATATCACAGGTTTTCTGTCACTGCCAACTCTACAAGAGAGATGAGTGCATCATGGGGCTTTCGGCACCAGATGCCTGTTGCTCAGGGTATACAAGGCACGTATTCACCAAATTCTACTGCATGGATGTTGCTGCATCAGCTGGTGCAAGTTTTGAACACAGGGTTCTGTAAGCAGCAGTGTGGTCCAGTCATGCCATAATCTCAAGGGTTGCCTTGCCACTTTATTTTTTATGTTCTTCTTTTATGGGACAGCTCTTGGGCATCGGTAGTAGTAGGTGTAATTTTCTTTACTTAGTGTCCAATTTCTCAGAGGCAACACCTATACCCATCAATGGAAGTTTGACCTTGCCTTCCAATGATTTGCTGGAGAAAAGAATTTTACAGTGCGTTAAAAAAAAAAATCAAATTATATTTGCCCTGAAATCTCTCTTCTTAGGAGGGCAGTAATGCTTGCTGCATAGTGTTCTGGTGGTGTGTAGCCTAATCAATATGGTTATGTTAAACTAGTTTTGAGTGGAATACAATATCTACCAGAATTCCCTAAGTAGCAAAAGTCTAAAAATGTTGTAACATGGAAGCACAATGAAGAGAAGTGGATGCAAACTAGACTTTATGCATAACTTGTACATGGTGGTAAAGTAAAACTGTATACATTTACATTCACTAGACACAGTAAACCATGTAATGTGTTAGACATTAGTGTGCCTTTGAATAGCTCTAATCATGGCCGGACACACTAATTGTTACCAGTGCGCAATGTTTGTCACATGCAAACTGTGGTCATAAGACAATGTTCTATCAATTTCATATCCTCATTTCATTCAGTATAGCTGATCTTGCATTTCTCCTACTGATGATTTCTCTTTCCAGCCATGGCCTCTCGCCAATGACCCCAACAGCAGAGAAGCTCGCCAACAACGCTTTGCTCACTTTACTGAGTTAGCCATCATCTCTGTGCAGGAGATTGTGGATTTTGCCAAACAGGTTCCCGGGTTTTTGGAATTGTCTCGAGAGGATCAGATAGCACTTTTGAAAGCATCAACCATAGAGGTAAAAGTGTAAATAAATGTTCTGTAATAAACTGTACTAACCATGACTATATAGCAGTCCAAAAAAAAAAAACTGAAAAAAGCTTCACATTGTGAATATAAAATATATTAAAATGTATGTGCAATACAATAGTGCAATGCAAATATATCAAACTCTTATGTCACCACAAATTGAAAAAATAAAGGAATCCAAATGTGATGCCAAAAACTGTGAATTCAGTGGTACTTCGAATATGAGGAAAAAATTACAGCTGTAGATGTCAAATGCCACCAAAACTTCTTAATGATGAACCACCAGAATCATATGACCCCCAATTAAGAGATGTCAACCAGCGCTTGTTCCAAGATATCTAGCTTTCCTCAAAATCACATGTCAAATGATGGTACTGCTGCGTTATATCAGATCACTGTGCATATACACCCAGTTGGACATAGTATCATGAAAAAAAGACAGGCTCTCCATAGTGTAATCCAGATTAAAACACCAATTTAATGTGGTGAATGCACTTACAATGAAAAGATGACAATCAGGCACTTCATATCATATGAACAACTCATATTCCAAAATCCAAGATGGCTGCAGCGGGATTACATATGCATAGTGGCGTGTGTTCCGTCTCTGCCCTATTAGTTTTGTCAATGATGACGTAATCAGGAGCCTGGGACACACGCTGCCACTCCTCCCTTTTATACAAAACAATCCAGAAAGGAAGACATCCTAATTAGTGCAAAGTACAGAGATTGATAGTTAACCCTGCATACAAATTGCAGTGCCAAACACATTCAGCACTGTCTCATGAATGGTGCTATAGCAACATAAAAGTATTGACAACTTCTGTAATGTGCCATCTTGTGGTCAAAAGTAAAATTGACTACAAAAAGCTAAAAATAAGTGCAAAGAATTAACATAAATAATCAGCATAATAATATTATTTGTATATTGTTATAAAAAAAGATTTAAAAACCAAAAAATTATTGCACAGATATTAAAATATATTTTTGGACAGATATTATTCTCTAACAATTCCTAGAAATGTATTATCCACATATTTCTATATATAAATATTAATGCCAATTGCAAGATCTATAACATTATTATATTAAAAACTATAGAAGCCCCTGAAATTTAACTGACAAAAAAAAAACACTGAACCAAGAGGTCAAGAAATGTGGGACAAAACCAGAAACAACAATTAAAATTTGCATATAGAAATTAAAATTGTGAAGATCGCTAGTGATAAAAATCAAATATAATACAATATTCTAAGAAAAAAAATCTTGTAGCCAAAAAAAAGGGAAAAAAAAAGTTGAAAAAAATGAGGGTACAAATAATTTCAACTATTAATGAAACTGTTTATGTCACACTCTATGTTGAGACCTAATGGAGTATAACAACCTTTTAAGGTTGAATATCCATCTAGTCTCAAGATGTGAAATGTTTCTACTTGCATTTATACCTCTCCAATGAGGGTTATGTTTATCAATTGCCATAAACATTGTGCCAGCAGGATTATTATTATTATTATACAGTATTTATAAAGCGCCAACAGTTTGCTCAGCGCTGTACATTACAAAGGGGGACAGAACATGCGACAGTACAATAACAATACAATGTGATACACGAGGAGTTCGAGGGCCCTGCTCTTTTGAGTTTACAATCGGAGGGAGGGGATAGTGGTACAGGAGGAGATAGCTGTGGGGGATGGAGTGGTAGGAAGAGTGGAGGAGGTCGGCAAATTAGCAGGGGGTGGGGTAGGCTTCCCCGAAGAGGTGGGTTTTCAGGGTGCGCTTAAAAGGAGAGGAGAGTAGGTGATAGTCAGATGGGTTGGGGCAGGGAGTTCCAGAGGATGGGTGACACCCTGGAGAAATCCTGGAGGCGGGCATGGGAGGAGGAGACCAGGGAACTAGAGAGAAGGAGGATTTTTATTATGACATGGGTCATAATGTTTAGATACACTGTGTGCCCCGAAATCCACATTTTATGTTACCTATATGTTCCTCTAATCGAACATGTAATTCTCTTGCGGTCTGGCCCACATATTGAAGCCCACATGGGCATTGAAGCATGTAGACCACATTTCTTTGGCAAGAAATAAAAGACCTAATAGTATAGGATTGTAAAGTCTGAGTCTAACTAAACTGTAACACTTTACGCTCTCTGATTGTATTAATGCGACGCACATTGCATTTTCTGCAAAGGTGGAAGCCTTCCATATTTTGTTAGAAAGTAGGTCTTTTCGTGGGGGGTCTATTACATTGGGGGCAATCACGTTCCTTTGTGAGGTAGCAATTTTGCTGTTCCTTGGCAACCTCTACATTTTTCCTCCAAGCCCCTAGCGGCACTTTTTCTGATGTCCGTGATTAGATTATCTTGGTTTGTTGTCTGTCTAAATATAAAGCACCTTGTATTTTCTACCAGCACTTATTTGGGTCTTGTACTGATGGGTAAAGTGTCCTAATAGACCCCAGACCCTGCAAATTCACCTCAGTAGCAGCTTTCACACAGTGTCAGATTAAACTCCTGATTTCAGGTATTCACTGATATCTGCTTTTCTTTTCTTCCCTTCCATGACATACTGGACTTCCAGATCTGGATAGTCACTGCCGTGGTCGTTCTTCACTGTTTGTGTCATAGAGATCCCCTGATCCACATATTTACAGTATCAGTGCATGCTGAATTCTTTAAGATCAAGGACAGTCACTTAGAGTGCCCCAGGAATGGCGAGTAGGCTGTATACTGAGGCGTCTGCCTTAGAGCTTACTTAGGATCCTTCTATCAATCAGCTGCTTGCAGTGTCATACCAGATCCACAGATCCAGAATATTCACCCTAGCAGAAAAAAGTTCTCAGTATCTTCCTGAACCCCTAATTTCTGTATTTCCTTGACACACCAGTCACTGCAGCAGTCATCAATGGGATCAGTGTTTCTTTGCATGACCCTGCTGTCTGTATGGTTTTATACTGGACCTCTAGATTTGCCATTCACTACAGTGGTCCATAACCCTTTCACTGCCAGAACCATGTTTTGATTTTTTGCACATGTTAAAATACTAATTTTGGGTTAGTTAAAACCCCCAAACACGAAATATTGTAGGAAAGCAGAGACTTTGAAGGATAAAATGGTTGTAGTTCCATTTTTTATGTCACCTGATACTATCACTGTGGATTATCAAGTGCAAAATTTCAGTAAAAAAATCTACTATGGTTAATTTCAGTGCCTGGGATTCATGTTTTCATCTTTCCCTTAGCTTTGTTGTACTGTAGGACTTTTATAAAGTGAATAGCAATGGGATTGTTCTCCTGCCTATGTTGGCTTTGCTGGTTCTTGGTGTCTCTGAGTTGCTCCTTTCTGCTGAAAGATCCCTACAAAGGATGCAATCTTTTCTGGCTGGTTAGGTGGTATTAGCACCCCGTCATTGCTGGGACTTCAGACACTGGAAGTAACCACGCTCTCCATTATTGTATTGGAGAAATGGGTGATTCATGTGTCCCTTCTGCATTAAAAGCAGCAGGTGGATGGCTATCTGGCGAGATGCCTGTCCAACAATACACACAGCTATGGCATATATACCGTGCATTCATAAAGTATTCAGACCTCTTCACTTTTTTCAATTTTGTTATGTGGTAGCCTGATACTAAAGTTGTTTACATTAATTTTTTGTACATTAACCACTTGCCAACCACGCTATAGCTGAATGGCAGCTACAGTGTAGTTGTCCAGTTCTGGGAAGGCATCATATGATGTCCACCCAGAACGCGCCCTCCTGCGCACCCCCAGCGGCGCACACCCGGCGCTCTCCATGATCCCTGTGTCCTACAGGCACAGCTGATCACAATATAAATACAGTTGCCGGTTATCGGCAGCACTTTCCACACGCTATCACAGCGTAAGGAAAGTACTGCCGATAACTGGCAAATGACACAGGACATCTGCACCGATCATCAGGGCACTGATGATCAGTGCTCAGCAGTGCCGCCCAGCAGTATCAGTGTCCAGCAGTGCCGCCAGTCAGCACCACCCATCAGTGCCCATCATTGCTGTATATCAGTGCAGCATCACCAGTGCCTCTTCATCAATACCCACCAGTGCCGCCAGCGCCTCCAGTCAGCGGTGCCCATCATTACTGCATATCAATTCAGCATCATCAGTGCCTCCATCAATACCCACCAGTGCCTCCTCATCAATACCCACCAGTGCCTCCTCAACAGTGCTGCCTATCCATACCACCTCATCAGTGCCCATCAGTCCTGCCTATCAGTGCAGCCTCATCATTATAGTGCAAAAAATAAAACACCAAGTGGCAATTAAATACCACCAAAATAAAGCTCTGTGTGTGAAAAAAATTATAAAAATTTCATATGGGTACAGTGTTGCATGACCGTGCAATTGTCATTCACAGTGCGAGAGCACTGAAAGCTGAAAATTGGCCTGGGCACAAAGGGGGTAAAAGCCATAAGTAGGGACATGGTTAATCTACATTGTACCCCATAATGACAAAGTGAAAACAGAATTTTAGAAATGTCCATAAATTTATTAAAAAGGAAAAACTGAAAAATCCCATTTAGTTAAGTATTCAGACCCTTTACTCAGTACTCTGATTCAACAATTACAGCCTCAAGTCTTTTTGGGTATGACATGACATGCTTTGCACACCTGGATTGGAGGATTTCTTCCATTCTTCCATTCTTCTTTGAAAATCCACTCAAGCTGTCAGGTTGGATGGGGGCCATCGGTGGACAGCCATTTTCAGGCCTCTTTGGAGATGTTCAGTAGAGTTCAAGTCAGGGCTCCAGCTGGGACACTCTAGGGCAGGGGTATTGACTTAAAAATCAAGGAGGTCCGGTCACTAAAATTTTCTTCTAGTACGAATAGGGTGTGCCCCCTTACATTAGGTGTCGCCATCAGAGTGCAACTTTACATCATGCATTCCCATCACATCAGGTGTGCCCATCAGAATGCTCCTTTACATCAGTTGTCCCCATCAGAGTGTCCCTTTACATCAGGTATCCCCATCACATTGCCACCTTACATCAGGTATTCCTGTTAGAGTGCCCCCTTACACTCAAAGTACCTCTTTCTATCATATATCCCCATCAGAGAGCCCCTTTCCACAGTTTGTGCCCCCTTAACATAAAATGGGCCCATCGGAGTGCCCCTTAACATGAAATGTGCTCATCAGAGTGTCCCTTAACATAAAATGTGTCCGTCAGAGTGCCCCTTAACATAAAATAAGGGGCATGCTGATGGGCACATTTTATGTTAACCACCTCCCGTCCGGCCATTGTATATAAACGGCCAGACGGTGGCAGTGCAGGGGCGGCTGGCTGTTTATAAACGGCCTTCCCGCCCCCTGCTTGTGTGCGCTCCCTAGGAGCACGCAGCACCGTGATCCAGTGCCTGCGGTGTCCTCCGGACACATTGGACCAACGATGGTCATACGGGACCTCTGTGCGAGGTCCCGATCATGTGATCACTGATTGGCCAATCAGTGATCATATGCAGAGTAGTAAGCAAGATGTCACTTCTGATGTCATTGCTTACTACGTATGAAATCTGTGAATGATCACAGAGGTCACATGGTACAAGGCTATTCACAACAGCCTTGTACCATGAGACAAGCTGTGACCAATCACAGCTCACACAGTAGTTCTCAATGGCTGCAAGAATGGAGCCAGAGAGAAGGAGAAATGATTGCTTTTACAGCCTTTATGGGTGTAAAAGCAATTAGTGTAAAAAAAAAAAAAAAAAATCTTCATCACCCCAAGTAGTACAGTGTCACCATGCTCCACCGTAACAAAGTGCACCTCCACCTACGAATAAGGATGGCCGCTCAAAATGGACCTCCACAGCAAAGAGCTGATAAAGGCAATACAATGGATGACACTATAACACGGATCTCTTCACAACTCAAACTCCACATGCAGGAAGAAAGGAACAGCTCCCATAGGGTAATAACGTTTATTAAATTTAAAACCATGTTCAGAGTAACACTCACATTATGCAGGGTATCAACAGATCATTATCACGCATAAAGACTTCTGGTCTGTACGTGTGACCGGGAAAGACGTCCAATTTGCTCCTGCAGGGAAAAAAATTCCTTCCTGATCCCCTGAGAGGCAATCGGATATATCCTGGATCAACTTTACCTATAAATGTTAGTATCCAGTTATATTCTGTGTATCCAAGAAATAATCCAGGCCTTTTTTAAAGCAATCCACTGAGCTGGCCAGAACCAGTCTTGAAGGAGTCTATTCCACATTTTCACAGCTCTTAGTGTGAAGAAACCGTTCCGTGTTTGGAGATTACATTTCTTTTTCATTCAGACGCAAAGAGTGCCCCCTTGTCCTCTGTGATGACCTCAGGGTGAATAACGCTACACCGAGTTCACTATATGAACCACTGATGTATTTATACATGGAGATCACATCCCCCCTTAATCTCTAATCTTTCCTCATAGCTGAGCTCCTCCATGCTTCTTATCAGTTTGGTTGCCCTTCTCTGTACTTTCTCCAGTTCCCCAATGTTCTTTTTGTGAATTGTTGCCCAAAACTGAATTGCATATTTCAGATGAGGTCCTACTAATGCTTTGTACAGGGGGAATATGATATCTCTCTCGCTGAAGTCTATACCTCTTTTAATACAAGAGAGGATTTTGCTCGCTTTAGAAACCACTGCTTGGCATTGCATGCCATTATTAAGCTTGTGATCTACCAGAACTCCCAGATCCTTCTCCACCATTGATTCCCCCAGTTGTACTCCCCCAGTATGTATGATGCATGCATATTCTTAGCCTCCAAGTGTATAACCTTACATGTATCAACATTAAACCTCATTTGCCACATAGTTGCCCAATTACACAGTGCATTGAGGTCAGCTTGTAAATTGAAGACATCCTGTAAGGATGTTATTCCACTGCACAGTTTGGTGTCATCTGCAAAGACTGAAATGGGATTTTTAATCTCAGACCCTATATCGTTCATAAATATATTAAAAAGTAAGGGTCCCAACACTGAACCTTGGGGTACACCACTGACAACCTTAGACCATTTAGAGATTTATGAATCATTAACCACTACTCTCTGAATATGATCTTTTAGCCAGTTTTCTAACCATTTACATATGGATTTTTCCAAGCCTGTAGACTTTACCTTACACATTAGCCATGTGTGGGGAATGGTGTCAAACACTTTTGCATTGCTCTATGTGTGAAATACTCTTTACCATGGTTGTTTTTGCCATTGAAGCTTCTCTTTCAACTCTTGATGATGACTGAATCAGAAGATATTCACACCACTCTGATAGCTCGAAACTGGGCAAAACACAGTTTTCTGACCTTGTTAGTCTGGGCACAGATGCCTGCAGCTCAATGATGCACCCTGCTTCTAAGTTGCTGGCTTTAATGGAAAGGTGTTTTTCCGTTTTTTTTTTACATTTTATCTGTGTATAGGGGCTATGAATCATCCACATCAACCATGGCTTTGACCAAAGTAAATAAATTTTATTTGGATTTATCCCCTCATTAAGTGAAAGAGAACTATCAAGGAAGGATATCTTTATATGGGTGGTAAACTCTTCAAATGCATCTAGCCACCTTTTTTTCCCATTTTGGATATAGTGGGGAAAGATTAGAAGCCATGTCAGCCTTTAGGCATGTGGTAATTGAGACTTAATGTGTATGTCTAGACAATTTTTTTTTTTAAATTTTGGATAGAGCAGGAAAAAGGTTCAAACCCTATGTTAGACTGAAATTCTGATAGTTTCCCCAGACAAGAATACTTTTTTTTATTCTTTATAGTAGAGGACATGCAAACGGGATCCCTGGGAAGTTTAAAGGCCATGGAGCTCATAATGGGCACGTTAAGTTCACTTTAAGTCACCAAGAGAGCCCAAACTTTGGCTATGAATATTCTTTAAAACTGTTCATAAAAGCTATGTAGTTTGACTAGTGGTCCTCAGAAACTAATAGTGTTTAACTCCATTGTAGATAATGCTGCTGGAAACAGCGAGGCGTTACAATCATGAGACTGAATGTATAACTTTTCTGAAGGACTTTACATACAGTAAGGATGACTTCCATCGAGCAGGTGAGACTGGCTACCTTTGGGCAACACAGTTTGTTTTGATCAGCAAACACACATATTACAGGAAAGCTTTCTGTTTTTTGAATCACTTATAGGTATCCCCCAAAATACACAATAAGGTTTGTGGACACCTGACTATTACACCTACCTATATGGACAAACGTATGTTGGTTCAGTAGCAAAATATTGGGTGGACCAAACAGAGATTTCCTGGTTGAATCAGTTATATACATAACAGAGTATCCCAGATTTTATGTGTATGTGCCAAAATTTCATCTGTGTATTCCAGGTCCCAAACTACTTAAAGTGTTACTAAACCCAGGACCCTGCATCCATTATATCTGGTCTCCCACAATACACAGAACATGGAAATGCAATTATTTTAGTAAATATAAACTGCTAAATACCTTTTCTCACCAGCAGTTAGAGCAATCTTGTGACTTCTGTGTCCAGCCCAGCACTAGCTAAAGCTTGTAGGAAGAGTTTTTTTTCTGGTCTAGGAGGATGGAAATCCCCTGACCTCTGTCTGGACAGTGCTGATTGGCCTTGTGCTGATCACATGCACACTCCCAAGAAAACAAATAAACCTTTTCTAGCAATATACACCAAACTGAGCACGTGCATGCCTACTGTTCAGTCTGGAGATAAGTGGTGGTCGCTTGAAAAAGGGGAGGAACAGAGAAGGATCAAACAGCCTTTTTACACAGTGCAGAGGATTAACCCCTTAGGTTCCACAGTGAGTACAGGTGAAACTCGAAAAATTAGAATATCGTGCAAAAGTTCATTTATTTCAGTAATGCAACTTAAAAGGTGAAACTAATATATGAGATAGACTCATTACATACAAAGCAAGATAGTTCAAGCCGTGATTTGTCATAATTGTGATGATTATGGTTTACAGCTCATGAAAACCCCAAATCCACAATCTCAAAAAATTAGAATATTGTGAAAAAGTGCAATATTCTAAGCTCAAAGTGTCCCACACTAATCAGCTAATTAAGCCATAACACCTGCAAAGGGTTCCTGAGCCTTTAGATGGTCTCTCTGTCTGGTTCAGTAGGAATCACAATCATGGGAAAGACTGCTGACCTGACAGTTGTGTAGAAAACCATCATTGACACCCCTCCATAAGGAGGGAAAGCCTCAAAAGGTAATTGCAAAAGAAGTTGGATGTTCACAAAGTGCTGTATCAAAGCACATTAATAGAAAGTTATGTGGAAGTAAAAAGTGTGGAAGAAAAAGTGAAAAGGTCATTCAGGAAAAGGTCATTCAAAAGTGTTGGGGACTTTCACAAGGAGTGGACTGAGGCTGGAGTCAGTGCATCAAGAGCCACCACACACAGACGGATCCTGGACATGGGCTTCAAATGTTGTATTCCTCTTTTCAATCTGCTCCTGAACAACAAACAACGTCAGAAGCGTCTTACCTGGGCTAAAGAAAAACAGACCTGGTCTGTTGCTCAGTGGCCCAAAGTCCTCTTTTCAGATGAGAGCAACTTTTGCATCTCATTTGGAAACCAAGGACCCAGAGTATGGAGGAAGAATGGAGAGGCACACACTGCAAGATGCTTGAAGTCCAGTGTGAAGTTTCCACAGTCTGTGTTGATTTGGGGAGCCATGTCATCTGCTGGTGTTGGTCCTCTGTGCTTCATTAAGTCCAGGGTCAACGCAGCCGTCTACCAGGAGATTTAGGAGCACTTCATGCTTCCTTCCGAAGATGAGCTTTACGGGGATGCGGACTTCATTTTCCAGCAGGACTGGGCACCTGCCCACACTGCCAAAAGCACCAAAACCTGGTTCAATGACCATGGAATTACTGTGCTTGATTGGCCAGCAAACTCACCTGACCTGAACCCCATAGAGAATCTATGGGGCATTTGCCAAGAGAAAGATGAGAGACATGAGACCGAACAATGCAGAAGGGCTGTTTTTAACTGAAGATTAGGCCAGTAACACACCTCCTGTATTAGTGTTCCCCCACTCTGGATGAATGAACACAGAGGGCACCTTTGGACAGCAGCATTGTCAAACTGGGGGTAGGAGAGTGTTAGATGAACTAGTAGATTTAAATGCACTAACAAATTGAAGTCAAACTACAGCTAATACTGTACTTTATAAGTAGCAAACGTTTTTTTTTTTTCTTTTGGGACAAAGGTTTCTAATAAATAAATGGTCTCTGTAACTGATACATACTGCTGGAGAGCTTGTTCTGTTGAAAAACAACAGACTTGCTAGATCACAAAGTGAAAATAGATGCAATGGCTGTATTAATTTTTTAGACTTTCTTCTAAGAATTGGTAAGCTGCAATATAATGTTTGCTTTTGGGTTTAATATCACTTTAAGACAAATTGTTTTGGACTATAGGTCTGATTTAGTGGGTGTAGTTAAGATGTCTTTTAGGCGGATATTTTAATAACCGTAATATTGTTTCTTCTATATTCAGGATTACAGGTGGAGTTTATAAACCCCATCTTTGAGTTCTCTCGTGGAATGAGGCAGATGCAGTTGGATGATGCAGAGTACGCTCTGCTTATAGCAATCAACATCTTTTCTGCTGACAGACCAAATGTGCAGAATCACCAGCTTGTAGAGAATCTCCAGCTACCATATGTGGAAGCTCTGCACTCCTACACTCGTATCAAGAGACCTCAGGTATATAACAACTGTTGACACAAAATTGCAAGTTTCTTTCAGAGGGCAAAAGCTGTATGCAATATTTGGGTGCCGATGAACATGAAAGTGTGTACTGAGCTGTTCAGCACAGCAGATCTTATCAAGCCTGGAAGAATGTGTTTAACCACTTCCCATCCACTGTCTGTTTGTAAATGTCCTCGAACGGGAAGGGTAATATCTCAGTCATTGCTGCAGCTGCTGAGGTATCATTTTGTTGGGTCAGCAATTCTGCACAAAGTGAAAGTTCATTGCATTGCCACTACATACTTCTCATTGCCCTGCACTGCTACAGAATAGGAATTCCATTACATAGTGCTCATTGCCCTGCCACTGCATACTGTTCCCTCACTACTCTACCATTGCCATTCTATACAGCTCATGGCCTGCCACTAGGTACTGTACAGGATCTGTAGTCTTTAGCCATATGTCGTATGCAGCTACAGTTAGTTGGAAATTGGCAAAAAGAGCTGCAGGGACATCCTCTATAGCCTTTTTTTTTTTTTCTATTGTGCTTAGGTGATGGACCTCTTCTCTCTACTGAGGGAAGTCTACCTTTTCTATATGGAGGTTTTTGCTTTCAAAAGATTTTTTTTTTTTTAGCAGGATTCTTGGCTGCAGCATAGCTACTGCATCTTCATTCTGCAGCTTCCAGATTTGTTGACTCCTCAACTGAGCCTTAGGAGATCTTACCCAGACCCTGCTTGGAAAAGATGCACAGCTGACCTGACAAAAGCATGGTCCAAGTTGCTCCAATGGGGGAAAAATTCCTTGCCACAGGAGGCAATTGGATATTACTTGGATCAACTACCCTTAGTATTATCCCTAAAGGCTCTTTAACACTATACTTCCATAAAAATGGATGTAGACTGACACACAGATTTTACTTGCAGAGACATTAGTATTGAGTGCAGATTTTTCATGAGCAGGAATCTGCAAGGTATATGAAACTCAGTGAAGAGTGCATGAAAACTGGTGTTGTGGTGTGAACAGGGCACATAAAGAAAAATTGATTGTGTTGTGTCCTTGCAGACCACATGCAGAAAAAGCGACATCGCTGCACCTTGGTGTGAACAAGTCCTAAATGTTAGTGTCCACTAATATTTTGTTTATTTAAGAATGTACCCAGCTTTTCTTTTTTTTTTTTAAACAATTGACTGAGCTGACCAGAACTAGTTCTTTTTAGTTACATAGTCTAACTGAAAAAAGACAAAAGTCCATCCAGTTCAACCATTTAGAAAAAAAAAAAAAAAGTTATAATCCTACACCCCCAGTTGATCCAGAGGCAGGCCAAAAAAAACCCCAGCACAGCATGAATCAATTTTCTTATGCAGGGGAAAAAAAATTCCTTCCTGATCCCCCGAGAGGCAATTGGATATTCCCTGGATCAACCTTACCTATAAATGTTATCTGCTTATACTCTGTGTATCCAGGAAAGAATCCAGGCCTTTTTTAAAGCAATCCGCTGAGCTGGCCAGAACCAACTCTGGAGGGAGTCTATTCCACATTTTTACAGCTCTCACTGTGAAGAAACCTTTCCATGTTTGGAGATTAAATTTCTTTTCCTCCAGATGTAAAGACTGCCCCCTTGTCTTCGGTGTAGAGTTATTCATCCTGAGGTAATCATAGAGTTCACTATATGAACCACTGATGAATTTATACGTGTTGCTCATATCCCTCAATCTCCTCTTCTCAAGAGAGAATAAATTCAGTTCCTCTAATCTTTCCTCATAGCTGAGCTCCTCCATGCCTCATATGAGCTTGGTTACCCTTCTCTGTACTTTCTCCAGTTCCCCAAAACTGAACTACATATTCCAGATGAGGTGTTACTAATGATTTGTACAGGGGTAAAATTATATATCTCTCTCTGGAGGCTATACGTCTTTAAATACAAGAGGATTTTGCTCGCTTTCGAAGCCGCAGCTTGGCATTGCATGCCATTTATTAAGCTTGTGATCTACCAGAACCCCCAGATCCTTCTCCACCATTGATTCCCCATTTGTACTCCCCCTAGTATGTATGATGCATGCATATTCTTAGCCCCCAAGTGTATAACCTTACATTTATCAACATTAAACCTCATTTGCCACATAGTTGCCCAATTAAACAGTGCATTGAGGTCAGCTTGTAAGTTGGAAACATCCTGTAAGGACATTATTCCACTGCACATCTGCAAAGACTGAAATGGTATTATTAAACCAAGACCCTATATCGTTTATAAATACATTAAAAAGTGAGGGTCCCAACACTGAACCTTGGGGTACACCACTGACAGCCCTAGACCATTCAGAGTATGAATCATTAACCATTACTCTCTGAATACGATCGTTTAGCCAGTTTTTCTATCCATTTACATAGATTTTTCCAAGCCTGTAGACTTTACCTTACACATTAGCTGTGTGTGGGGAACTGTATCAAACGCTTTTGCAAAATCCAAGTATACCACGTCCACCGCCACCCCTCCTGTCCAAGGTTTTGCTCACCTCCTCATAAAAAGAAATCAGATTTCTTTGACAACTTCTGTCTTTCATGAACCCATGCTGTCTGTTGCTTAAAATATTTTTTTCCAGCAAGAACTCATCTATGTGGTCTTTTTTTAAACTCTCCAGTATCTTCCCAACTATAGAAGTTAAACTAACAGGTTTATAATTACTTGGTAAAGATTTTGACCCCGTTTTAAATATTGGCACCACTCCTTCCCCCCCCAGTTTATTCGATATCCTTTTTTTTTTTTTTTCCTAACTACACTCTACTACTGCGCCAACTTGGCTCACATCTCATCGAGCATACCTCTCATGTATAAAAGACAAGAACCCCTAGGTCCCCGGCCAAATGGCAGGGATCATTATGTTTTTCTTCCCCTTATGCTGTGCTCCTACCAATGTGAACCTTTCATGTTTATGTTTTTATATGTTAAAATCCTTCAATAAAGAAAAATTGAATATAAATATTGGCACCACATTGGCTTTACACCAATCCAGTAAAACTATGCCAGTCATTAAAGAGTTCCTAAAAATTAGAAACAATGGCTTTGAAATGACAGCGCACAATTCTTTAAGGACCCATGGGTGTATGCACATCTGGTCCAGGTGCTTTATTCACCTTTATTCTGTCTAAATATTTTTGGATCATATCAATTGTGAGCCAATGTGGATCATCTGGGGCTCTGTCAAGTCAATACCATTCCCATTATGGACAAGAGCTCCCCCATGCTCCTTTGTGTACACAGAACTGAAGAAGGTATTTAATAAATTTTGCCTTCTCTTTGTCCCCAGTCACCCACTCTAGATTATTTTGTAAAGGGCCTATATGCTCAGACCTGACCTTTTTACTATTAATATATTTGAAGAAATTTTTCGGGTTGGTCCTGCTATCTTTTGCAATTTGTCATTTATTTTCAGTTTTTGCGGCCTTTATTTCCTTTTTGCATATTCAGTTATATTCTTTATTGTTTAAACAATAATACCGTTCCTTCATTTTTATATTTAATAAAAGCTCTTTTCTTATTAGCTATAGCTCTTTTAACTTTGGCCATAAGCCACATAGGTTTGATTTTTAGCCTTTTAAACTTGTTGGGGAATATATTTTTCAGGGTGTTCACATAGTCTTTTTGAAGAATTCCCATTTTTGTGTTGTGTTTATTGATGCCAATATTCCCCCCCCCAATCTAAGTCTTGGAGAGCAGCTCTCAGCCTTGGAAAATTGGCTCTCTTAAAATTGAGTGTTTTTATTTTTCCTGTATGTGCTTGCTGTTTACAGCTAACAATAAATGAAATCATGTTATGGCCACTGCTACCCCGATGTTCTTTTATATGGCCATTCGTAATAAGCTCTGCATGGTTTGAGATTACCAGGTCCAGCAGAGCATCATTCCTAGTTTATGAACTGTACCATAAAATTGTCCTGTAGTAGGTTTAAAAATGTTTGCCCTTTAACTGTTCCTGCAGTACCATTACTTCAGTCAATTTCCAGGTAGTTAAAATCCCCCATTATTATCACTGTCCCAGCCATTGCAGCCCTTTCGATCTGTGCAAGGAGCTGTCTCCACCTCCTCATTAACACTGGGAGACCTATAACAAACTCCAATAGTTATCTTTGTTTTACACACCCCCATGTGCAGTTCCACCCATAATGCTTCAGCCTCATCACACTCTCTATCAACTAGGTCCTCTTTCACACTCGCTCTGAGATCACTTCTCACATAGGGTAAATAGAGACCGACACCACCACCTCTCCTGTTTCTCTGAAAGACAACATAGCCAGGGGGTTTATTCCACATTTTCATAGCTCTAACTATGAAGAAGCTGTTCCATATATGAAGGTTAAATCTCTTTACCTCCAGACATAAAGAGTACCCCCTTGTCCTCTGTAATGACCTGAAAGTAAATAATTCTACAGCAATTTCACTTATAGTCACCATACATGTTGATCATATCTCCCTTAATCACCTCTTCACAAGAGAACAAACTCAATTCCTCTAATCTTTCCTCATAGCTGAGCTTCTCCATGCCTCGTATCAGTTTGGTTGTCCTTCTATGCACTTTGCCCAGTTCCCCAATACTCTTTTTGTGAGTTGGTGCCCAAAATTGAACTGCATATTCCAGATGAGGTGTTACTAATGAATCCTGCATGGGTGACTTACCTAGGCAAATGATGCATTGCAATGTGTTAGCTGCACGGTGCCATGGTTTGCTAGTGGAGGGGCCCTGTCACTGAATATCCCAAACGTTGGTACCTATAAATCCTGCCCACAGTGTGAAGACATCTGCTGTGGCAAGTCTCTCTTCACAAGGCCTTAGTGTCCTCTCTTCATACACTTGCCCCCAGTCTGACTCCCTGCCCTTCACCTGGGTACTCCACTGGCATTATGGCCATAGCCTTCTCCTACCTAACTAAGAAGGTGTTTTCTGCCACAGCTTGTAAGGACGTTATTCCACTGCACAGCTTGGTGTCATCTGCAAAGACTGAAATGGTATGTTTAA